TTTTTAACTGACAATTTCTGTCCTTTTTTAGATATTTTAAAGTGCTGTTTAAAACTGCTGCATATCACATGAAAGCATTAAATATATCATTTGTACAATTTTAAAGTAAAATAAAAGGGAATTCTGATCCTTAGAAACAGATATTAAGTAGTCTGATGATCGAATGATGGGGCAAAAAAAACTTTTTTACCTTTTAAACTAAAAAATTGTTTATTTATAAATAATTTATAAATACTCAAATTGCTTGGAAGATGATATGAACCCTACTAGAGACAACGAAGTTTTTTGTTTTATTCAGTCATTTATTTATATTTATTATGTCCGACAGTGTAAAAAAGAAAAAAAAATGCATTTTCGGCTGAGGGCCCGAGCTCCGAATAAAACTTTAAAAAAAGAGGTGGGAAAGTAGGATCTGGGGGCCCTTCATCTCGGGGCCCCAGGCTACAGCTTATTTAGCTTATACGTAAATCCGGCCTTGGCTGCCACCAACAATGTCGGTTAACAAAAAGAAGTGTCATCAATACCATGCCAAGTACTTGAAGTTTGGATTTGTTCAATCGCTGTTGAACTCTCAACTGCCGATGTGTTTACTTTGTAACAAAGTTTTATCTAATGAGACAAAGAAATCTTTCCGTTGGCAGGAGCATTTGCAAAAAACTCATGCTGTCAAACAAAATAAAGATTTGTAATTTTTCACGAACATCAAAGACAAGTTTCTGAAGGCACCATCTGTCTCAGGATTGCTAGCAACCTCATCACAAAAATGCGACGATGGTTTGATAGCTTCTTATAATATATCAAAGTGTATTGTTATTCTGGGAAAGCTAATACCATCAGCGCAGAGTTGATTCTGCCGGTAGTCAAGGAAGTTTCAGAAGCAATTTTAGACCATCTAGTCACATCCAATGTAATCCAAAATATCGCATTAATCAACGATACAGTGCGGGGACGAAATGGTGAGATGGCTGAAGACGTTGAAGTTTCTTTATGCAAACTTAAGATATCCAACGAATTTCCGCTTCAAGTTGATGAATCAACCTTGCCATGCAATGTAGGCTTTACTGTAGGCTAAGTCCAATTTGTAAAGGTAGAAAAAAGTATTCAAGAGATGCTTTTTGCAAGAAGCTTGATTGTAGATAACAAAGGTAAATTTATTTTTAATACTGTCCAAGATTACTTTTCAGAGAAAGACAAGAATATTATGTAGATTGTCACTGATGGAGCTCCTGCAATTGTGGGTCAACATCGTGGGTTTATTGCAATATGCCATATTTGCTGTGAACAAAATTCAAAGTTATGCTCTCAACGATTGATTATTCAGACAGCTGTGTATGATGAAGAATTCAATCGTTTGCTACTACACACCGAGATTCTCTGACTTTCCAAGGGCGCCAGTCTCAATAGGTTTTGGAATCTCTTCTACTCTGTTCTTCAGTTCCTTTAAAGCCGAGATGTATCTCAGAGACAGATTGCTAGAATTTAAGAAAGACTTCGGCGGATTTATTTGTGAAATTTAATGACATTAATTTACAACTTCAAGACGACGAGTTCAGTTTGATCCATACAAACTCAGTCATTTCTGCCTTTCTGAAAAAATTTATTTTGTGGAAGCAGAAATTTGGTTGGAATGAGTTCGACCAAGCAGGTGAAATTCGCTCTGATAATGCACAAAAATACTGTCAACACCTTGACTCTTTGCACGTGAACTTTTCTGACCGTTTTAAAGATGTTTTGTTCCCAGGAAGTCCCTTAGTGGGTTATGAACC